TTTGGGGAAGAAAATGTGCGTCTAATATGCCGAAAAATACGGTAGTATACATATGCCATTTATGAAATAGAACAGGGGTAGGCAACCTTTCCCCTTTAAGGGCCGAGGGACTGCAGCTCCCAGAAGCCTCAGCCATGTTGGCCAATAGTTCCATGTTGGCCAATAGCTCCTGGGATTCTGGGAGCTGAAGTCCCTCGGCCCTTAAAGGGGAAAGGTTGCCTACCCCTGAAATAGAAAAATACAGGACTTTGAGTCAAAGGTTTGGCATACTAACTCCACAGCTCCGGTGGACACTATGTCTAATCTAAGCATAGCATTAGGCACCCTCATCCCAACTTGGTGTTCACCTGATGTGTTGAGCGACAACTCCCATTATGCACAGCCAACATAGTCATTGGCAGGGCCGGTCGGGAATGATGAGAATTGTGATGCACTACTGCTGGCAGGCACAGGACTGGAGAAAGTGAATGTAGGGTTTTTGCTGGTGTGGTCCCCATTTTCTATAATGCTCCTCCCCACCAAGAAATTTCAAGTTGCTGCAACTTCCTCACTTTTTTCTGGACATGATGCACAATGCTTTTATTTTGGAAAGCATTCAGATGTTGAGATCGTGGGATGATGATTTTGCTTTCTGTTTGATTCCCCTCCCCCATTTTTGTTGTGAACTTTGTATTACAGTGAGCTGGTTTTGATGTGATATTTGGGATCCTCCTTTTCTTAATGAGCCACTGTGAGCTGTAAAGAGGAAGTGAAAATTTGTTTTAATTATATCAATTTTGTGGCAATGACTATAAGTCATTCCAGTATTACCCAAATGCCAAAATGTTGCTGTTGTGTACCTTCAAGTTGTTTCCAACCTATGGTGACCCTAAAATGAACTTATCATGGGATTTTTTGGGTCTATGAGTATGTGATTTGCCCAAGGTCACCCAGTGGGTTTCCATGGCCAAGTGGGGAATCGAACCCTGATCTCCAGAGTTGTAGTCCAATGTTCAGACCACTATGCTATGCTGGCTCTCCATTTGACAAACAGTAGATTATTTTAAAATGCAGCAGCAACAACAACAACAACAACAGGGGACTTTATTTAGGTTTATACCAAATCCAAAATAAAATTAAGATAAGGCTTTATAATTAACCTTCTCTGCACTGTGCCCTTTTTGTCATATTTCAAAGACCTGGACTGCATTAAGGACCAGCTGTTAGAAAGCCCTTCAAACAGATGCCACATGCAGATCAGTTAATTAGTTAGTGTAACTTTTAATCATCCTCAGCCAGCCATTGTTGAAAATGTCAAAAGTGGTCTGAATGCAACCAGAGAGGTTAAAAGGTGACTGGGAAGTGTGGCTTTCCAAATTGCCTTTTATTTTTTAAAACCAACACTTGGAATCATCACAATAAAAGACCACCGGAGCTGTATTCCTAACCATTCACCAGAGATTTGGGCCACTTGTATCTAACTGAATCCTGTGGTGGCAATTTAGAGATAGTTGGCCAAACTAGAGTCCCACCAAAACTGCTGGAACACAAGCATGCCATAGTAAACATTTGAACAATACAGTACAGGTTGAGTCTTCCTTATCCAGAATTCAAAATCTGAAATAATACAAAATCCAAAATTGTCCACGAGTGGCTGAGATAGTTACATCTTTGCTTTTTGATGGTTCACTGTACACAAACGTTGTTTCATGCACAAAATTATTTAAAATTATTAAATTATTAAAAATATTATGTATAAAATTATGTCCAGACTATGTGTAGAAGGCATATACAAAATATAAATTAACTTCATGTTTAGACTTGGGTCCCATCTCCAGGATACCTCATTATGTGTATGCAAATACTCCAAAATCTGAAAAAGTCCAAAATCCAAAATCCTTCTGGTCTCAAGCATTTTGGATAAGGGAGGTTCAATCTGTAGTACCGGTATGTGTGCTTTGTTGTTTGTTGTTAATGTGTCCCGAAGTTGGCTCAGATTAAGGGTTTTTCTGGGCAAGATTTATTTTCATTGCTTTTCGCTTTGGCTCTTTGGCTGTGAAAGTGTGACTTGCTTAATTTCCACAACTGAGTGGGACATTTGAACCCTGATCTTCCAGAGTCCTTTTCCAATACTCTGTGCCACACTGGCTCTACTCAGAAGTAAGCCTGTTGTGTTCAGTGTGACTTACTCCAAGCAAAATTTACATTGAATTGCAGCATTGCAGTACAAACCTGTACATGTTTACTGAGATGTACCATTGTTTTCAATGAGTTTTACTCCTTAGTAAGTGTATTTAGAACACAGCCTATATTCTCACTGAATTTTACAGTGCTTAGACTCACCTAGCTACCATAGCTTTTTCTGAATATTGCACTATTCATGATTGATAACTTCATTCTCAAAAATCCTGTAAGCTTAAAATGAAATGTGCAACATATGTGTGAAGGACAAAATGCTGATTATTTCCAGAAGATCTTTTAAAGAGTTCTGTATAAATGTGGATTTTAGAACCGTGTCAAAACTTTAAACGTCAATTTTAGTCAGAATTGCTTAAGGCTTCTGCTACTACTGCTACTTCTGATGATGTAAGGTATACAGGTATTGACATTTACCAGAAATTCTTAAGATTTTAAAAGGGCCAGGGGACAATGACAGAAATGCTTGTGTAATGAGAGCCTATGGCATTTGCATTTGTAATGAGGCAATCAACAGCATTGCATGTAATGATGGAAAGGCGGATGGCATTTGGTTCCTCTTGAGATTTATTGGTACATATCAGCATCATCTGACATTTTCTTCTTGGCCTCTTGAACTCTTAAGAATTACCAGTAAAATGTCAACTTTTACCCAGTGTTCAACATTTGCCACAACAATTATAATTATTTCCTAAATAAGTTATGGAGAGAGAACTGATGATGTCTGTGTTGTGTGTGTGTGTTTGTGTGTGAGTGAGAGAGAGAGAGCGAGAGAAAGAGAGAGAAGAATATGCTGCCTTAAGCTGCCAATACACTTATCTTTTGTTGTTGTTGTTGTATGCCTTCAAGTCATTTCCAACTTATGGTGACTCTAAGGCAGTGATGGCAAACCTTTTAGAGGCCGAGTGCACAAACTCATTGTCATTCCAGCACCTGGTGCCAGGGGTGGGACCTCCAGGGGCAGGACTTGCAGGGGGGAAACATGCAAGGAAAAAAATGGAGGACCTGACTAAATAAAAGTTCAAAACAAAAAATAAAACATAAAAATCTTAGGCACATCACACACTCTCAGCCTCAGAGGGTGGCAATGGCAAACCTGTTCTGTGGAAATTTGCCAAGAAAGCCCCGTGATAGGGTAGCCAAAAATGACTTGAAGGCACACAGCACCCACCCTCCCATCCAAGCCTGGGAGGAGGAGGAGGAGGAGGAGGAGTGGGATGTCCGACCGGAAGAATGGGGGCTCCGCCTAGAAGGGCCACGCACCGCCCCTCCTTGATGCAGCTCAGTTTTCCACGGGAGAACCAAGCCTCTGCAAAGAGCTGGACCAGTTGGGCACACCTCCCTGCCATGACCTCTGTGTGCCCTCTGACACAGCTTCACGTGCCCTAGAGGACACACATGCCATAGGTTTGTCAGCATGCCTCTAAGGTGAACCTATCATGGGGAGGGGGTTGTGGCAATATTTGTTCAGAGATTGGCCATTGCCATCCTTTGAGACTGGGAGTATATGACTTGCCCAAGGTCATTCTGTAGGTTTCGTGGCCAAGCAGGGAATCAAACCCTGGTCCCCAGAGTCTTAATCCAACATTCAAAACACTATGCCACACTGGCTCTCCCATTTCCAACTTATGGTGATCCTAAAGCAAATGGGTTTTTCTTGGCAAGTTCCTTCAGAGGAGGTTTGCCATTGCCATCCTCTGAGGCTGAGAGTGTGTGATTTGGCCAAGGTCACAGGGTTTCTCTGGCCAAGCTTATCCACTAGACTGTAATTTTGCTATTTTGCATTGAATTTTAAAAATCTAGATATTTTAGTGCTTAGAGTAAGCAAAGCAAAAGCAAAGCAGCTTATTTATATACCACTTCATATCGCGCTATGGGATGTCTACGCGGTTTACAACTGTGAGCTGATTGCCCCCCAACAATCTGGGTACTCATTTTAGCGACCTCGGAAGGATGCAGGCCTGAGTCGAGCCTCAGCCCTGGCTGGTATTGAACTCGCAACCTTGTGGCTGCAGTACAGGCATTTAACCACTGCGCCACCAGGGCTGGTCACCAGGGCTAGAGTGGCATATTATGGAAGAAGAAAAATAAATGCAGTCTTAACATCTAAGTGTGCTTTCTGAGTTTCAACAGGGCACTCCTGAAGCTATTAAAAGACACACAAAAAGTCCACATTAAAATTGATTGATCAATTGAATTTATTTACTGCCTTTCTCCCCAGATAGGATTCAAGGTGGTTTACTTTTTTAAAAAGATTAAGCTAAAATACTAGTATAACAAAGGTTAGAAAAGCATTAAATAACAGAATTAAACTATTAATAATATTAAAACAATTTAAGACACAAGCTGAAAAATGATAAAAGTCATATAAAATAATAGTAAAACAATATAGCACTCTCCTAAGAGCCTTTTCCTTAAAAGAATTCAGTTCTAAAAGCCTGTTGAAATAAAACAAGTCATGGCATGTCCATGGAAGGACAGCAATGAGGGAACAATGCAAGCCTCCTTAGGGAAGAAGGTCCAGGATCTAGGGGCAGCTATTTGATAAGGTCCAATCTTGTGTCCCCACCTGTGACATTCACACCTGTGAAGGTGGTGGGACTGAAAAAGGGATATCTTCCAGGGTTCTGAAGAACTGGGCAGACTCATATTGGGACATATGGTCTGTCAGATTGCCTGGACCTAAGCGAGGGTTTTGCCAGTCACAATCAGCACTTTGAATTGTGCCAGCAAACAGATGGTCACCAGCTGCATGATCTCTGCAACCCCAAGATATCATTTGGATGATGATAGTTTAATGTGGAATAGCCATTTTCAGCAGCCAACTTATGTTGAAAATGATCTCTAGTCCCAGTCTCACCTCTCATAAGGAACGTTGTTATTGTTGCTGTATGCCTTCAAGTCATTTATGACATATGGTAACTCTAGGGCAAACCTATCATGTGGTTTTCCTGGAAAGATATGTTCAGAGGAGGTTTACCATTGCCTTCCCCTGAAGCTGAGAGCATGTGACTTGCCAAAGTTCACCCCGTGGGGTTCATGGCTGAGCAAGGAATCAAACCTTAGTCTCCAGAGTTGTAGTCCAACATTCAAACCACTATGCCATGCTGGCTCCTATTTACATAAATATATAAGATTGACAAGCATGGTGTAGTGGTTTGAGCGTTGGACTATGACTCTGGAGACCAGGGTTTGATTCGCCACTTGGCCACAAAAACCCACTGGGTGACCTTGGGGAATCACATGTTCTCACAAAAACCTGTGATAGGTTCATCTTAGGGTTGCCATAACATCTTAGGGTTGCCATAAGTTGGAAATGACTTGAAGGCACATAACATAGGATTGACAGGTAGCAAAAGAGTAGGTACTTAGGCAGGCAGATACATAGACAGGTTTCAGATTTAGCAAAACATTGGCAGACTGAAGTCTTATAAGCCCAGGACTCCCCTCCCCCCCAAAAAGCATGCCTAATCCAGTACCCTCCAGTTGTGCTAGATGATGGCTACCATTATCCACTCAATATACTGTAGTAGCCCAGCACATCTTTAGAGCACTAGGGGCCTTTGTAGACTGCCAGAAATAGTGCACTTTAAATTGAGGAACTGCCCTGGCTCAGTGCTAGGGAACCATGGGGATTGCATTTTTTTTTCTGAGACATTGAGCCTTCTCTCTCAGAGAGCTCTGGTGCCACAATAAATTACAGTTCCCCTGATTCCCTAGCACTGAGCCAGGGCAGTGCCTCAATTTAAAGTGCACTATTTCTGGCAGTCTGCAAAGGCCCTAGGTTCAAAAAGTGAAGCAACATTTTTAAAGGGCTTCTTCTTCTTCTTCTGGCAATAGAGAGAGAGAGGGATGGATGGCAGGAAACTTTTTGCTTCCTACCACATCATAGACTTTAAAAAATCCACTTGATTATAGAAACAAAGATATCCCTTTTTTCCATCCTTGGATGATGGGAGGTGATGGCATCTTCCCCTGAGTCAGAAGTTCTCATTGGTTGTTTTGACACCTGCATGCTAGTACTTAATTGCATGTCTTTTTAGTGCCAACCTGCTTATTAATTTTTTTATCATTGGTATTCTCTGACTGAGGGCAGGAAATGTCGCTACTGTGCACCTCTCTCATTATCAGGATGGTTGAAGTTGCTTATTTATCAGAGCCACCTGGTTTGATGTCTGTTGCAGTTCCTTTAGCTGGAGAAAAGCTCCAAAGCAGCTGTGTACCTTTGAAGTGGCTCATAAAGAGAAGGGTTTGAATATGTGTTTTAGAAATGCCAGGCTGTCAGGATTTTGGCTTATCTCAAAGCCTAAATAATTTCAGGTGATCTTGTATGTTTGAACATAGAATGGCTCCCATGATCCCAAAGTCCAGAAAAAGTGGTTGTGTGAAGACTGGTTTTTTAAAGGTCTCTTTCTTGTGGAGGAGGAGATGTGTTCAGTTTACAATTTGATGTGAATTTGCCTTATATTACATCAGATACACAAATCTTTATGTAGATTTCTTGAAAAAAAATTGTGATGCGTTTCTCCACTTGAATAATGCAGAGAACATTAGTGGAAAGCACATACAAAAAAGTGTGTTACTGAAAACAGTGTACAAAAATGCCTTGCATTAGTGGAAATTGGTTCCGAAAACATATATATTTAGGCAGATTCTATACAAAAAAAGATTATTCATATGAAGATAAATGCACTAAATTTTTGTTTGTGTTCAAACTTTTAAAAAAAATCAAACTCATGAGGTAATAGAACCAGTTGAACTTTGCTTTAGAAAAATCAGAAACTGAGAGAAATCAGCACTTCCATTTGTAGATGGAATGTGTGGAATATGCATCCATGCATTTATTTATTTTTATTTGATTTGTTTATTTATTTATATCATTTACCTTGTCCTTCAGCCAAAAAGGCTCCTAGAGCAGTTTGTAAATTGTTAATTTGACAGTTCTCTGCCCTTAGGCTTACAATCAAAAAAGGCATTAACACACAACAAAAATGGCAGGTGGTAGGGGAATGGCAGCAGGGGAGGGGATGCAGTCCAGAAGATGCTGCCTACTCTTCTTTCCCTCAGAAGCCAGAACTGTTGCTGTTGGGATGAATGGAGGGCCTTCATCTGCCAGCCCAGGTATGATGGAGCTCTATATCCATGTATATTTACATGTATGCATGTACATGCATATAAAGGGTAAGAGAGAGATCAATGTACATTTTAGAGTGACAGAACAGAAAGGACTGCTATCTGTTGAAATGCAAATTTGTTGGGAAAGAATGTGGACAAACAGTTTGAAATTTACTTTGAGTCATGATTTAAGAGAGAATTTTTACAAAAGATGTAGAGATGGTATTTAATACCAGATAGATTATTGAAAATATATAAAGACAGTTCTCTCAAATGTTGGAAATGCAAATCAAAGGTAGGATTTCTTTTTCACATGTGATGAGATATTGGACTCAAATTTATTCATTGTTAGATGATATGTTTAATGAAAGATAATAGATGAAACCAGAGACTTTCCTGCTTAGAATGTTGATTGACCAAGTTGAACAAAAATATAAAAAGATATTGCAATACATCATTAAAGCAGCGAGAATAATATATGCCCAGAGATGGAAGAACTCTGACATGCCAACACAAGACAATTGGCTAATGAAGATGATTGAACTTTCTGAAATGGATAAATTGCCATTATTGATCAAAGAATAATCTTTGAATAATTTTAAGAAAGATTGGGATTTTTTAATTACCGTATTTTGCGCCTTATAAGACGCACATTTTCTTCCCCAAAAC